TTTTTTTTTTTTTTTAATTTTTTTTTCAACGTTTTTATTTATTTTTTGGGACAGAGAGAGACAGAGCATGAACGGGAGAGGGGCAGAGAGAGAGGGAGACATAGAATCGGAAACAGGGTCCAGGCTCTGAGCCATCCGCCCAGAGCCCGACGCGGGGCTCGAACTCACGGACGGCGAGATCGTGACCTGGCCGAAGTCGGACGCTTAACCGACTGCGCCACCCAGGCGCCCCAAGGGAGATACTTCTTTTAAAGAAAGTAAAACAATTTGTCAAAAGCCAATTCAATGAATAAACGATTCTTCCTTTTTTCAAGAGCATATTATTATTTTTTATATATGTACATACAGTTCTCACTAGTGTATTCTTCTTATATTTAAAGAATATCTATAAATTGTATGTATTTTTTGTATGGATATATTTTTGGAAATAACTTGTAAGTATATTCACTGATACAGCACATTTGTATATGCCATAAAGCTTCAAAAATAACTAGTATACTTCATACACCATTAAGAAGTTTCCATTTGGCTTTGATATTATGTAAAGGCTAATGTGATAAAGTTTAATTAGAGTAAAACAAAACATCATCCAAGTAATTATTTGTACAAGATCCTGAAAGATAGGGGAAAAGCCTTTTTCTCCTTTGTTTCTTCTGTCTAACACAGAAGTTGGCACTGAGGACATTCACTAAATATTAATGGATGGGAAGATGGAAGGAAGAAAGGGTGGAAGGGAGGAAGGGAAAGGGTTTGGGAAAGGGAAGAGAGGGATGGGAAAAGGAAAAGAGGAAGGTAGGAAGGTAGGGAGATAATGGGAAAAGGCAAAAGGAAGGGGAAAAAAGGACAATACAGGTGCTAACTTGACAGTAATAATTTTTTTTAATACTAGAGATTCTTAGCTGATCAGAAAACAATACTCAAAAGGCATGCAGCTCTAGCCCAGACATTGCCACTCACTAGTCATTAGTCCTTGGGTAAGGCACTCTATGCATACGTTTCTTCATCTAACATGAAGATACCATCTACACTCACAGCAGTCATAAGATCAAATGGGATAACACTGTGGTTCAGAGTACTTTGTGAATTTTTCTACAAAGAAATTATAGGATATAATTCTGAGGTAATTATTAAAACACATCAATAATATTTTTTGCTGCTAAAATATTCAATTTCAGGTTGCAATGAAGTAAATATTTAGATAAGATCCAATAGTTGTAAGGTTATCTAAGCTGATCAGAGTGCATCTAGAACACACTTTTTCAAAGGGACTCTGACAAATACTATTATACCCAGGATTAAGAGAAGTTATCAAAATTATATTATTGTGGAAGAATTAAAAATACTAAACTTGCTTAGCTTAAAGTAAATTAAGACAAGTTATGAAAATAATATTAAAATGTTGAATATGACTGCATAAAAGAAATATATTTGCTGCTGTAGAAGCAGAAGGAAAACCAATTAATGAAAAATCCAAGGAAGTAGATTTTAATCACTTAATAACTTCCCGATAAGAGCCATCTGTGGTAGGCAGAATAAAGGCCCCCAAACATGTCCACGTCCTAATTCCCAGAAGCTGTAAATGTTACCTTATATGGCAAGTGGGACTTTGCACATATGATTAAGATTAAAAACCTCTAGATTGGAAGATTGTCCTGAATAATCCAAATAGGTTCAAACTAATTACATGGATCTTTGAGAGAAGAGAACTTTCCTAGCTGTGAAGAGAGGAAGATGTGACTAGTAAAAATGGTCAGAGATAGAAAGTTACTGGCTTTGAAGATGAAGGAAGGCAGCCATGAGCCAAGGAATGTGGGCAGCCTCTACAAGTTGGAAAAGGCAAGGAAATGGATTGTCCCCTAGAGCCTCCAGAAGGGAACACAGCCCTAACGACACTGATTTTAGTTCAGTGAGATTCATTTTAGACTTCTAACCTACAGAACCATCAGATTATTTAAACCACAAAATATAGCAATTTGGTATGGCAGCAATAGGAAACGTATACAGTGACCAAAAAGGCCACCTGAAAGTGAAGCAATCTGTCTTCAGAGTCATCAAAAAGCTGTTAACAGGAAATATGAAAAGTAATCCTATAATGAATGGATGGGAATCTACAATAAGTTAACCCTATGAATTCTTTGAATAAGTTAACCAGACACCAATCTGGATATCCCAACTCTCAACACCCCAACTCTCAACAACTCTCAACTGATTCTACAATTGTAATAAGTAACAGTCACTAAATTGAAGGCAGTGGAATGAACAGGGATAGAATACTAGACCCAGAAGACCTTGGTCTCTTTCAGATTTCCAAGTCACTTCGTCTTCAGGTGGTTCAGCTATTAAGTGATCCTAAAATTCAAGAAGTCATTTCCAGTTGTAGGTCCATCCACTATGGAAGGGATTTACAAGTACATAAGTTACTGCTAGATCTTGCTATGGTTTTGTGGTGTAGTTTTCTGGAGAATTTTGGTGACAGGTACTCTTAGGGAGATTAACCTGAAGTGAATTTCCAGTATGTCCAAATTCTACTCCTATCCCCAGCAGTAGATCCACATTTCGTGAGAGACTTCAAAACCAACCTACTTTTTGAAGAGCTTATAGGTTTTAGATGGAATGAAAATTATAAAGAAGTCTGGAAACCGGAATTACAGATGGTTAATAATTGCACAGAAGGAGAAGGCAGGGGAAGGATGCATTTACATACTCTGCCGGTGTCTAATATACTACTTAAAAGTTCAGTTATTTTGGCTACCTCCTGCTAGAGGAACCAAACTAGGGCAAAATTCATAATCAATATAATCATCAAAATCTGTTTGTGGATCCATAGGTAGAACAAGATTTTTTACCCAGTATATACAGGAGGGTGATCCATGTAGCTTTTTTTAAGACCCAGGCTCTAGACTCTGCCCTTATAAATTATGATTCAGTAGGTCAAGGGTGGTACCAAAATTTCTATAGCTTTAGAAAGCTTCTCAGTCAAAGCTTATGCACAGTCTGAGCTGCACACCACTGTAATGGAGTACTATGCTTACTTCCCCCTATACCCACCAAGAGTGCATTTTCTAGCCTTTCTTTCTTTGTCATCCAACATAAATGAGAAGGCATATGATCCTGTCCAGTTGATCCAACACTATACAGACTTTTCCATTAATGATACTCATGGCTAAGAAACTCACATAAGCAACAATTTAGGGCACCTAAGTCACTTGGACACCAATCTGGATACTCCAACTCTCAGCCTTATGGGTTGATCTGATTTGTACTGTGAGATTTTGTTTCCCTTATGTTCTTTATTATTTCAGAAGTTAACCCATCTTTCCTTGAGTAAACTGACTTGAATCTTTAAAGTCTCATTTGTCCAGAGGGAAACATGAAGTAGAAACAAAGATCATATTCTCACCAAAAAGACAATGTTGGTATTTTGATAGAGAGCTCGTGCCACACAGATTCTTTGCCTCTGACCCCCACTCAGGTTGATGCCCTGGAGAAGAATAACCGTAAGTATCCAACCTTTCCAAAAGCAAATGATCTGACGGTGAAGAATTCTCTTTAAAATACAAACTTGTTTTTCAGAAATTTTAAAGTAATGGTAATTTATTGATTAAATTGTGATAGCATTAGTAAGATAAAATCAAAATTGTCTATTAGCCAATACTTGAATCATAGTTAAGAGAATTTTTGAGTGGTAACATGAATTCTTCTTTCACTCTGATAGACAGCTCTGCTGTACAAAAGCTTTAATAACCACACACATGGTTAGCGCTAAACACTGCCAGCAATTCCAAAATTTTTACTAGTTTTGCAAATTGTATCTCTAGTTTACTTAACATACGCCTCTTAAAATTTATATTGCCAATTATGTTCAATAGTCTATACAGCAATATGGTTTTAAAAACAAGTACCAATTATAAGAATTTTTAAACTAGTATTTATTGACCACTTAGTATGTGCAGACTTGTGTAAATGCTTTTACATTCCTTATTTCTTTTATTCCTTATAGCAATTCCAACGTCTAGGCATTATTCCCTTTACTTTACACACAAGGAAAGTAAGGCTCAGAGAAGTCCATGCTCTTAAACAGTATATTATGCTGCAATCAAGAACAGCCATTAAGAACACTGACTATAGGGGTGCCTGGGTGGCTTAGTCAGTTAAATTTCAGACTCCTGATTTCAGTTCAGGTCATGATCTCATGACCATGAGTGCTCTCTCTCTGTCTCAAAATAAACTTAAAAAATTTAGCCAAAATTGTTTTAAAGATTGTATGCAGGCATAAATATTTTTTAGCTGCTCAGAACAGTATGACATCACCATTAAACATGTTTACATAAAGAAAAAAGGATACTTTAACAAGAATAAATAGATGTTGACAAGAATGGAAGAAGTCGGAAGCAATCTCAATTTCAACTCCAAGTATGTAAAAATACATTTGATCAAAGGCAGGAACTGCTTTATTTTCCTTGAGAACTCTCTAGTAGCTAGCACAATGTTAAGTATATGGTGGTTACCCAACAGATACTGAAGACTGGCATTAAAGCTCCTGTGCTCCTATTTCCGGAACCTGCCACTAGGACAACGCACAGCCCCTAAGCTCTCAGATTTCATTATGCTCCATTAAAGGTTAAAGACAACCAGAAGACTTTTTTAGATGTTTGTTTTATTTAATTAAGCTATACATAGCTCACCCTCTCTCCAATTTCAGTTTGGTCTCCAAAAGGTAGTAAGTCAATATCTGGCTGAAGAGAACAGGCATCCGTAACTGCTTTGTACCTTTGGGAGAAATTGTTTTGAATTTTTAGATCACTATTAATATACTACCCATAAAGTAAGTCCCAAGTTCAATATCTTGGAAGCCAAAATACAACATTTGTTGAACAACTTGGTATATATTCGCCTCTACACTGGGTTTGTGGAAACCAAGATAAATAGATTTTGGTTTCCACTTTATAAAACTAGTAAATGGAGAAGGCTGATAAAGAAACATATAATAAAATGGATCTTATTAGGTGCTACAGCTGATGTAGGTGGAAAATGCTTCTAACATACATAGAAAGAAATGGTTGACCACTCTAAGAAGTCTTTGCAAAGGAGGCAACATGTAAGCTGTATCTGGAAGATGGGTTGTAACTTGTTAGGAAGAAAATGATGGAAAGGAGGGAGACTTCAGGAGCTGCATGAAGGTGAAAAGGCCATGGTGCATCTCAGGGACAACAGGAGGCTCACAAGAGCTAAAACACAGGTTGTGGGTGGGTGTCTGTGCATATTATCATGCATGCTGAAGGGAAGAGAAATGGAAGGTGTTGAGGATTGATGATACTCAAACAGATTTAACGCCTGGACTGGAAATGATAAATTGCAAGTATAGGAGATAGGGAGCACTAGGGAAAATATCAATAATTTCATTTTCTCAATCACCTAGTCTTAAAATATTAAAAAGTCATTGTTGATTCTTCCCTCTTCTTCTCCCTGCTCTTATTTTTCCATTCTTATTCAAGAATTGTTTTTTTGTCAGCTGTCTCTTCTTTTCTATTTGTGCAGTCACCCCCAAGGGCAGGCAATGAACACTGCATGCCTGGATAATTATTCCAACAAATGTCTAAATGTCTCCTTGCTCCTAGAGCAGATTCATCCTTATGTATCTATCATTACACTTTCAGATTAATCATCACAGTTACTTCATTATTCCCCTTTCTAAAACTTGCTGTGCCTCCCCAGAATGCATAGAATTATATCAAATTGGCTTTTAAGGCATCCGCTACCTCAACTCAGCTTTCATTTAAATCCATTTTGCCACTGTGAATATACATAAATCCTTTTCTGTCTGGTTTGTTCCCAGGGTCCCAAATGATCCCATGTAACTTAAGTTCTTCCTCCCACACTATCTGATTTCCTCTTCCCTCCCTTCCCTGTGCCTCCCCCTTGAACTAATTCTCCTTAACTTTCAAGGTTTGGCTTAGGGCTTTAAGACCCAGCCTTCTGAGGCTGGCTTAAGGGTCATGCCTTTGTACACTCTGGTGGTATTTAAAGACGGTTGAGAGATGGCGTATTCTGGCTGCTGTTTGTAACTAGAACCTCTCAGATCCCACATTCTTCCTTTTCTTTCCACGAGTAACTTTCTTTCTTTCTTGGATTTTTCCTTCTATTTATCAATAACCTCAGCACCCTCCCAACCACCAGGCCCTCCACCCCTCCACACTCCACCCTCCATGATTCCATTTTAGCAGCTTAGTTTTGGTGTACAATAAGTATACAGGATGGGCTGAAACGTCCAGTTAGACTTCTATTTAAAAAGTTGACTCAAAAGACCTGGTGATGAAGATGGACACAGGGCATGCAGGGAAGAAAGGAAGGCATGGCTCTGCAGGTTCCAGAAACCATGGACCAAACATAAGCATTAGAAATAGTTGCTCATTTTAGTTCTAAATTTTACACTCAAAATTACCTCTGTTTGTTGAAAGGACTTCCAAAAGTAATATTTTCTTCTACTGTAGCATTTAATAGCCAAGGTTTTTGAGCTGCGTAAGCCACAGAATACCTGTTCCTACTGGAAAATGGAAAAGATAAACAAAACACCGAAGGTATAAAAGGATGTTGTGCTGTATGTGTATTTTAGTAAAACTAAGAAGAACAAAAGTGGATGAAATATCTTGAACACAGAAATGGAAAGCTTCTAAGAAAGAATATTTTAATAACCACCAAACTTACTATTTATGGTTAAGTATTTCACCTGAATTAGAAAGATTAGAATTTAATCAAAATGTTCCTCAATGTGCAAAATTTGATTTTGCTATGCTAAAGAAGTGTTTAGAGGTATAAACTATAGGTTGAAAATTTATTTTGTAAAATAACTACAATTTTTAAAATAATTAAAAGGTCAATAGCAATACATTCTCTCTCCAAAGCCACTGATATTTTACTTTATATTAAAAGCACCTTACATAACTCTGAATTTTATATGCAAACCTTAGAAAAAGACATTAATTGGTACTGTGTCTGTGGCTTATTCATGTTAACAATGTTTTAAGGTAGTAGATAATATATAATTATTTCAAAGCAATAATACATTGAGGAATCCATTTCAATGTTGAAATAACTACACATTTAAAAGCTACATATTTCAAAACATATTGAAATAGCTTATTTCCTAAAAATTATAGCCTCTTCCTCCTCCCCATTTTTGTTTTTTTGGTTTACACATTCTACCAGATGTCTATACATCAGACTTTAATTTGCAATCACCAGGAAAATACATGTGAGTTGAAGATAAAGAAGATGATGGAATTGGGGTAGGAAAGGGGTCAGCTTAAAAGTCACACTTCCACAGTTAGTTCATGGTCTGTAAGTACTAATTAAGGAATCACGGTTAAAAGATAGTAAGGTTAAGAAAAAGAGTAATTAGAAATATTCAGTGATCATCCCGAAACATGTCTTAGGAGTTTAAAAGATATGATGATATAGAGTATGCTAGTAGTCTCTGAGATCATTGTATGTGCAGTAGAACAGTGGTTCCCAACTTCTGACATGTCTTCTTCTTCTCCCCCTGGTCTTTCCATCTCTAGCTTATGGACAGATCCCATCACTGTTTAACTCATAAACAATATACATATTCTTGTACTTTTATTTTATGAAATCCCAAAAACAATTTACTAAGAACAGTTTGAGTTTCGGCCAAAGTTGAGACATTTGTGACTCATGGAGAGGAAAACCGTTGACACAATGGGCCATTTTGTTCGGCAAATTAATTTTTTTAGCAGACTGTAAATGTTGGGAACCACTGCTATTGGCAATATGTTGGTACATTTTAATAAATAAATTGGTACATCATCAGAATGAATAAAATGACTAGGAGTAAGAGTCTGAGTATTAGGTAAAGTCTGAGGAAGAAAGTTATTCTTATTAAATGCAGATTAAAATAGAAATAATACCTTCTGGTTGCTTCAAAAGAAGGTTCAGATTCATTTACACTGCAAGTATGGCAAACAATGTTCATTAATTATGAAATATAAATATAAGAATGAATGTGTGCATATATCAGATAAAAATAAAATAAACATTGGACATATTAATAGCTATGTTTCCCAAATGGTTTTTGATATTAATTTCAAAGACAAACCAGACAAATAACAATTTTATTTTATGTCTTCATCAGTGAGGAAATAGTTGCTTAGTAAGCTTCCAAAAGATAGATAGCACTGTTCTGTTTCATTACAACATCTGGGTTCATACAGTGACCTGGGTTCTACACCACCTCTGTTCTATGTAGCTGTATAAATTTAGGTAATCTTCCTACAGTAGTTTCCTAGTCTGTATAAGGATTTGGTATCTCCAAAGTCTCCCTACTTTTAAAATTGAAATCTAATCTGTTTAGATTCCTAATTAGCCATCCTATGGCATGAAAAAAAGAACTACTTTTGGGGCTCTAAACTTGAAAGGTTTAGACATAGCTTGGTCCTTAAGGAATCCTAAGAAAGATAGACATGCACAATAGGTCAAACCACAACATTTGGGTATGGTTATTGTTTGATATGATTTATGTACAAAGAGATGTTTTCCTAATAACATTTAGTTATATCTATATTATGGGGGAAAACACCTATTCATTTTATTGTTCTAAATTTGAATAATGTAGTTGAATTCAAGACCTGAATTCAAAAACTACACACAAAATTAAAGTCTAGTGGAACTCTAAAAGTAGATCTCATTTGGCTCTGGAAAGCACCATATGCTTTTATGGAGAAAATATACCTAAGTATGTTGTCTAGTAATACTTAGCTTAGAGCTACTAATGATAAGATTTTCATGCTTGCATACTGCTAATGACATCCTGGTAAGGTTAACTAAGGCAGGAAAAAACAATTTCAGACTAAAAATCTCCTCTCAATAATGATTATTCTCTGACCCAAGTTGCTCACATACCAAAAATAATGAAATCTACATTTTCCCAAGTGATATTTGCTTATAATATGCTTTAGTATCAGGAAATTTGGATTTTCAAAACCACACTGAGATACCACCTCACACTGGTCAGAATGGCTAAAATGAACAAATCAGGAGACTATAGATGCTGGCAAGGATGTGGAGAAATGGGAATCCTCCTGCACTGTTGGTGGGAATGCAAACTGGTGTAGCCGCTCTGAAAAACAGTGTGGAGTTTCCTCAAAAAATTAAAACTAGAACTACCCTATGACCTAGCAGTGGTACTGCTAGGAATTTACCCAAGGGATACAGGAGTGCTGATGCATAGGGGCACTTGTACCCCAATGTTTATAGCAGCACTTTTAACAATAGCCAAATTATGGAAAGAGCCTAAATGTCCATCAACTGACAAATGGATAAAGAAGACGTGGTTTATATATACAATGGAATACTACTTGGCAATGAGAAAGAATGAAATCTGGCCATTTGCAGCAATGTGGATGGAATTGGAGGATATTAGGCTAAGTGAAATAAGTCAGGCAGAGAAAGACAGATACACTATGTTTTCACTCATATGTGGATCTTGAGAAACTTAAGAGAAGACCATGGGGGAAGGGAAGGGACAAAAAAAAGTTACCGAGAGGGAGGGAGGCAAACCATAAGAGACTCTTAAGGGCTGAGGACAAACTGAGGGTTGATGGGGGATGGGGGTGAGGGGAAAGTGGGTGATGGGCGTGGAGGAGGGCACTTGTTGAGATGAGCACTGGGTGTTGTATGGAAACCAATGTGACAGTAAATTATATTAAAAAAAGAAATTTGTAGTTTTTAAATGTTTATTTATTTACTTTTAGAGAGAAGGAGATAGAGAGCAAGCAGGGGAGGGGCAGGGAGAAAGGGAGAGCAGGGAATCCCAAGCAGGCTCCGTACTGCCAGTGCAGAGCCTGACACAGGGCTTGAACCCACGAACCATGAGATCATGACCTGAGCCAAAACCAAGAGATGGACGCTCAACTGACTGAGCCATCCAGGTGCCCCAAGTAATTTGGATTTTTTTTAAATGGTAAAAAGTTAATGAATGACCTCAACGGTTTTAGTTAATTTGAGGAAGACAGAAAACAGATGAAAAGAAGCAGGTGTAGAAATTAATGGATTACTCTGTAGCTTGTTTCATAATAGAAGAAAGGAATGGGACCAAATAGAGAAAACTAAATTCATCGGAAGTTATCTGCTTGCCCGGAGAGTATACATAGAGGCAGAAAAAAAGGGGACAAAGTTAGAACCTGAAAGATATCACTATTTAATGAATGACTAAGGAAGAGAAACCTGAAGAAAGGACCAAGAGGAGCAGGCAAATGCTTTGAGGTAAACTCACCTGTGAGTCAAAATTAAGCAAGGAGGTTTTGAAGCAAAACTTATGGGCAACAATATCAAGGGACCAGGAGGTCAATTAACACAATGATCAAAAAGTACACAGTGAATTTAAAAATTAGGATGCCACTATGGACTTAATAAGGATAGTCTCAGTGGAGTGGCAGAGGTAGAAACCAGAGTGCAGTGGACTGAGACAAGAGGAGAATAAGAGGAACTGGAAAGAACTTGTGAAGATTTTTCTCATCTACAAAAGGAAGGGGCCAGGGTGGTACCTGGGGGTGGGGGTTGAAATTAGAAAGATAGACAGAAACACGATAGAGACAGAGACAGAGATGGGAGAGTGCTGTTTTTCCACTAATAAAAGTAGAAAAGAGCCAGGGCCTGGACTAGATGTAAAGCAGATAAAGAGAAAAAGAACATGCTTTGGATATAGGGTGTATCAGTCTACTAAGGAGACCAATAACAGACTAGTTACTTAAACATAGTTCAGAGGGATCAGAAGAGACAGTACATTTCAATCTGCCTAGGAGAATGAGACAAGGCTCTGTCAAAGAGATAATATCTGATTTGACACTAGAAAAAAAGTGAGACTATCTAAGGAAAGGAGTTACACAGGAGTGTGTGCATTTGAGAAACAACTTGCAGTTCAGGGTTACTGGAACACAGTGCTAAGGGTGGGGGGATTAGACAGGGACCAGATCATGAGAGGTCCTGATATAGTATGCAAAGGTCTTTGGAATATTTCTTGGCCAGTCAATGCAAAAATTATAAGCAAGAGGTAAGTAATTAGATTTTCATATCAGAAAGGTACATCTCATAACAGTATGAAGAAAGGTGAGGGAATTATTACTGTGAATAGTTCACATATGCAATTCTCCTGAACTAGGACAATTAATATAGGCATAAAAGTGTTAAGGACAGACATAAGAAAAGTGACTGGTTGGACTGTGTGGGCAATGGAGAGAGAGAAGAATTCAGGTTGGATCTTTGAGCTTTGACTTGGGCATCCACGAACAGATTTCAGTGGGTGGGGACACATTCCTGCCAAGATACAGGAGAAGTAGGTATTGGAGATAATGAGGGATATGAGCTCAGTTTAGATGTGTTCAATATTCAGTTTATATATAAAGACTTTTTGGAGGAGCTATTAGATCTTCAGAAGAAAGATGTTGGCCAGAAATGTACACCGGTGTGTTGTTAATACTTAGGGAGAAACTGAAGTCAAAGATATAAATTAAAGGCCAAGTAAAGGAAGAGTGTCCTACAGTAGACCACAGAAAGACTGAAGGAGAATCAGAATATTCTTCTTCACCTTCTATCTCCATTTGTATTACGGCTCTTTACTTTTTGACTCATTAATTTTGGTTTATCCTTAAAATATAAGTTCAAGTATCATTCATTCATGCATCTCCCTAAAAAAGGCTTGTTGTCCCCACAGACTCAGCTCAGTAAGGTTACCTATTATTTGCTCTTATAAAACTCTGTCCTTCTTCCTAGCACTTATAAAAATTTGACCAAATAATTACTTATGAAATTATTTTCTTACTTCCTTGTGGCCTTCCCTGCTAAGCAGTAAGCTTCATGAGAACAGTGTGTTCAATTATTTCCTCCCCAACAACTGCCACCGTGATTTGTATGTCAAAGATATACTAGTCTCAGAGTAAGGAAGATATGGTAGATATTGGTCCGTTTGTAGGTAGTCATCCTCCATGAACAAACAAAAAGAAACCCTATTCTTTCATTTTTAATGAGTAATATTAGAGTCCTTAACTTCTAGAGACCACCTCTATAATCTCACACAACAGCAATATGTTTAATCTAATTCAAAGGATTTCTTTTTCTCTTACAAAACAAATACACTTATTTCTGAATTTCAACATCAGATCTTAACGATTACATGAAAATCACTGGGTCCATGTCCAGACCCATCCTCCACCATTCACTGTGGTAGTGAATAGCACTGAAAGCAGCAAGAGAAAACAAAGAGGCCAGATGGAAAATCCCCTTGTGGAAAATAGATTTCCATTCTGTATGCAGGACTTGTGTGTATTTTCCTTCAAGAATAAAAATTAAACTTAGTAGCTAGCAGCTTTCAGGTATCATGGCTGATACCTTGTGGAATGGGAAAGAGTGAAGCTTTGCAAGCTTACATCAGAAATAATATTTAGAAGAATGGGAGCTAGATGTGGGCCCAAACACACTACACTGCATCTAATCCAGGAAAGCTGATTCAGTGTGTTATTATTCCTTCATACCACGTAAAGTCACATGAAAAGGAGTAACTCCTCAATTCACCGGTCTTAGAATAACTGAACCACTGTTATAAAGCTGATTACACCAAGATGTTAGAAGATAGAACATCAGCACATATGAGGCCTGACAGGAGGATGGTTGACAGCCTGGGCAAGAGAGAAAGAAAAGAAAAGGAAAACAAAAATAAATGATGGCTGTGTCTCACATGATTATCAAAATTATTACACAGTGTAGACTCTGTCACTGGAACCACTTGTCAGGTAGAGCATTTTAGTTCTAGCTCCTAAGATGTCAGTAGGAATTATTGTTTATCAAGACAACTTCATTGTTGTATTGTTTATCAAGACAAATTCATTCAGGTAGAGCATTTGCTTTTCAACAAATATAGAGCACACCCAGATGCAGAAATAAAAACCCTGGCATTCTAACAATTTTGGAGAATTTTTTAGTCCCTTCCTCCTTTCTCTGACCTTTCTCTTCTGAGGTTACAACATGGCTGACTAGGTCAAAGGTAGCAATTTCCAAAGAAATGTCTTTAGAGGTCTTTGTACACTTGGTTCTACTCATGTAGGTGTGCCTTGGGTGAGCAGCAATACCTTCTTTCCTGCCTAAAGTAAATATTTATCACCACAAGAGGACCAAGTGCTTATTGGACTTTGCTCATGCCAGTCTATGAGGGCACATTTAAAAATAAAATTCATGCAGCCAGAGATACATGCAGTGGTGAAATAATGGCAGCAAGGCACTTGACACCTTATGCTAACATTTAGTTTATTGGGTTTTTTTTTTTTTTTTGAGCTTCCAAGAAACATCAAACAATTCAGTGTGTTGAAGTAAAGCACTTCTTAGGTTTTGTACTTCATCAACCAATCAATATTGGTAACTTCTAAATTAGCTTTGCTCTAATAACATTTCTCTGCCTTTCCTTATTGGGTGAGGCACAACAGCCTTTTATGGAATGAAGAGTAATTATAAATAACTCTTTAAAAGAAGATCAGTATCTTCTGAATATTACCAATAGGAAAATATGTTTTATCAGATATTAAGGATGCCATAGAAGAAAAAAAAGTAATTCTTGTAATAAAGGAAAATAGAATTTGTGTTAGCTTATCCAATCTCTTAGAGGCTTAGTTTTTTAAGCCATGTGTGCCTAAGCCAACACAAACATTTTTTGAAGAAAATCTTAGTCCTTCTGCCATTAAGAGATGGGAGTATAGTGAATGAAGGCAATGTTCATAAAAAGATGATTTTTAAGTTATGAGGATTTTATAAATACTTAGAATTATCTAAAATCCTTTTACACACCTTCATCCCTTTGGCTCCATCTCTAAGACATAATCTTTTATTAGCTTTATTATTGGGATCCATGAGATTTCTTTCTTTCTTTCTTTTCATGAGAGAGACTTCTTAACCTCTGTTGAGTAAGTGTATGTTTTTATCTCTAGTTTCCTCTTTGCTTAGCTTCAATGAAGCTCAGAGTGGAATCTGTGGTCCATATTTTATCAATACACAGGACTCCAGAGCATGTATTTCTACCTATTTACTTCTCAGATTATTATTTAAATCTTAATTTTTCTTGATATCTTTATCTTTATTTTTCAAGCTTTATTACACTATGTAACTTTAAATAAAATAATTTCCTACCTTTGTGAAATGAGGTAGGAATGCAAAAGAAAAAATACTAGATTATGTAAAATACTTCCCTAATTCTCATATCATTTATTTATCAGTTAGCAAAATGATGAAGATTGTTAATGATAATATTGGAAGTTGATCTGGCCTAAGTGGAATCCTAAATAACTCAAGGGAAGACTATATTAGAAGAACATCCTAGAGGTCTGAAAATAAATCTCAAGCTTCTTGAGCTTCTCAAGCTGTCACTGATTCCCATTCTTTCTCTCTGGTTTAATGACAAACAAAGGTGAAAATAAAACCAAAGTAACTTGATGATGGCTGTACATGTCACAAAATAGAATTTAATCCAGTAAAATCTGTTTCTCAAAACCTCTAGTCATCCAAGATGGAAGGAGATAGTGGCAGGGCAAATTGCCTGGTGCCTGATCTTAGTGATCAACAAGAACTTGTCATGAAGCAAACTACAGGTGGCAATTATTTACCAAGCTCTCTTCTGGATATTCACTAAACAGTTTCATGTCTACTGTCTTTTTTAGATTGGCCCAGTAGGAATAAAATGTACACTCAACATTTCCCAACCTCCTCCTTTCACTCATGATACTTAAAATAGGATGTTTCCCGTTCAAATTTCACATCCAAGCATTTCCATCTCTTACCTGGAGTTTAACATAGTCTCTATTCTAAAAATGCTCTTAAATAGTCTTTACTCATTCTTGAGACATACCTGTGTATGTAAACAGCAGAGTAAGCAACAATAGAGTTCACAGTGGTAGGGGCAAAATATTAACAAACGTCTATAGATCTAGAGCAAGGTTTCCCAACCTTGACACAACTGACATTTGGGGTCAGATGATTCTTTGTTGCCGGGGCAGTGGGGAGGGGGTCCTGTGCATTGTAGGATGTTTAGCAGCATCCCTGGCTTATACCAACCAGATCAGGAAAACCTGTTTCCCCAGTGTGACAACCAAAGATATCTCCCCTGGGAGAAAAATCATACTTGGTTGAGAAACACTGGTCTATAATCCAATTTCTTAGATAAGCTATAGCAAATTTCTTCATAAACTGCTTATGGGGAATCTACTAGGTAAGCCGAACTGAGTAAATTGGTTTAACACTTTATTGCACAATTATATGATATTATGGTTGAGTCACTTCATTACCACAATGTGTTTCAAAGACCACCATTCAAATATTCAGGAGAAGCACCATGCTAGATATCTCCTTTTTCATATCTTTACAGTGGCATAACACACCACTTTGACCTATCCATGTACCTCTTACTAGATATTTCTAGCGCCTACTTTAAGTTGGGTGTGAAAAGAAATGGCTGATTTCTCAGCCCCTTATGAAGATTTTTTAAAAGATTATTTGGTAGTTCTTCACTGAACAGTGAACCATTACAGCTTTTTTGCATTTAAGCTTTATGAATAATGTAAGTTTTCCATAGCTTCTTTTAATATAGGATAAGTTTTTAAATTATTTCTTTGAATGTTATTCCTTTTAACTTTGAAAATCTATCTTTACAAAATCCCAATCATACTAGTTTATACCATGATAACCCTCTGTAAGAACTGTTTTCTAATTTTTAATTTATGACATTTAAGGTTTCTACTAATTTAATTTTTTAGAAAGCTGCACTTATTTCTGAGGGGATCCTCAGATTCCTAATGTAGGAATCTATTGCTCTCATTTCTTCCCTTTGTAAGATCATCGGATGGATGATAGAGCAATAGAAACCAATTAAAAATACACATACTTGCTCCAGTGAACTTTGCCTTCCAGTGTCTGCATCTCACCAAGGATAGCAAGGAGAAGAGAAGACTTCCCACAGCCCACTTGGCCCACAATCATGGTCAACTGACCTAGAGAAATTAGATAAAGGATAACAGCAAAAGGACATGGAATTCTAGTAAAATAAAACCAAAATACATTTAGAAAAGGCTGAGGCTTCAAAATCAATAGCCCACACTTGGTCTCCAGCAATAAGGTATTCTAAATAGCTCCTCTTTCTGATACATGAGTTTTTTTTGACAAAGAAGAGAAAAATTAAAAGATATAGGCCTTGATTTACTGTTTCCAACTATGAGAACAGCTGACATTAGTGAATAGAGCAACGAAATAATTGCCTAAATAATCTCAATTAGTTTTAACTTTTTTACAATTCATTCAGGTGAAGAAGGCAGTTTTGACTCAACTTAATTAATTGAGATGAAAGGGATTGGGCTGGTATTAAGACGACTTCTCCAATTTCTTACTTTGATACGCACGTAAAATAGAAAAATCTCAATCTATTGACCATCAGGCCAGATCAAAACATTTTTTCTATTCGGATATCTAGGCATCTTAACCAAAAATTATTGGGTATTTGAGCCTAAAATAACTTGAATACTTTAGTTGTCTCAGGGATAGAAAATAATTTTCTTATATAGTCTTTATTTAAATCCTTTTTCAAACAACATGAAAAATCAACTACCCCATTATTTAAATGGACAAATCAGCAACAAGCTGTTATCAGCTTATTTGGACAGTAAATAACTTGTCCAAATGTCTACACATTTTGTAGTGAAAGGCAAGTCTTATTTCCAATCACTTCCATGATGATACAGTGGCTTATGAGCTACATGATGCAAATAAACAACTATAAATAACATTAATAATGTTTAAACAATCTTTTTTTTGTTAAGATCTTGAAAATCCATACTTGTCATAATTAAAAATAAAAAATAATAACAAATGTCTCTCACCTGTTGGAATTCGAATATCTATATTGGATAATGTAGCTAAACCACTGCCCCATGAAAAGTAGCCATTTGTGACCTAGAAAAGAAGAATACATAAGTTAAAATATAAAATTATGTATGTATTTTGTTTTAGAGAATAATTCCAATAAAATACATTTTGTCTTTAAGACACTGGAAGACTTTCAATATAAGGTAGAACACACAGTGGTGAAATTCTAATTTAGAGTTAGCTAGAATTGTAACTATTGAGAGGTATATATGAAAAAAAAAGAATGGAAATGAAAGGAGGGTCTTTGAAGAATTAGCGATACTATGAAAAGGCTAAAAATTACAATTTTCTCTGAAAATTTGGGATTACTAGATCATTTACGTGTGAGCATTCCTAAAAAGTAATCATCCCAAATATTTTCCAATGTAACACCAGCATTGATTATTTTCTCACGGCTAGGCAATTTCCAGAATCCTAATGATGCAAAGTATAGAGTGGACATCATGTCAAATTATTCCAACAAAATGCCTCTGTTAGCCAAGGAGGAAGGTTTTGTAATAAGGTTTTGAAGTGTGTGGATTTAGTGCCATTTAATGAAGTTCAAGAATGAGTAAAAGGAAGAGAGGAATAAAGCACAGAAATGAGGTAATATATTTTAGTGGGATAAACCTCAACAAGCAGCAAAGATCATTAGACCTATAGTCACCCAAAGCAATCTATTTGTATTAAGAAGTGTGAAGTGGACTTGATAGTTTTTTGTTTTTAGTTTTTATATAAAGTTTATTTATTTTGAGAGAGTGTGGGCACTCCACCATCAGTGTGGAGTCCGATGCAGGGCTCAAACTCACAAACCTCGAGATCATGACCTGAGCTGAAGTCAGACACTTAACTGACTGAGCCACCCAGGAACTCCTGGACTTGATAGGTTTAATAGTTACAAAAATGGGAAATGAGAGGTACAACAAAACCCCCGGATTGAAGTTGCTTGAAAAGTCTAAATTGTAATTTTCCATGTAGGTTTTCTTTAGCTCGTAAGATGTGTGACATTTAGTACTGTCTATCACATAGATGTGCAAGAAATTAGCCCTGGAAGGAGGGTGGCACAGAAGGGTTGAATTACTGATTGCTTTACAAATATTTGCTGAGCACCCATTCTGCGTGAGGTGTTGTGTTAGTATCTATGTAGACTACAAAAAAGGTATAATGCATCCTCCCCGCTTGCTTGGAGCTTGCAACCAGTTGAGTAAATAAACCATGGACAGAAGCAAATACAACACGACAGACACAGATGGAGGTGAGAAGACAGAGCTACTGGAGACTGAGGAAACTAGTTCTGATGGGCGGCATGTAAAGGCTCACCAGGAACTACTGAGGGGCAGTGGAATGGGGAGGTCATAAATGTGTGTGGCTCTGCCAAGTGGTACATTGTGTCATTTCCTCCATAGAGTTCAGCAGCCTGTTCTAGGAGCATCAAAGGCACAAAGTTGGATTGCTTACAGAAAGCGCTGAAGGACTGAGACAAAAGGAAGGGGCTCAAGTTGCTGGAGGTCTCAATAAGGTTAAAAAAGCAGTGTCAGCAAAGGTGAAGCCCGAGAGAGTTGGAGGTAGGGTTGTGGTGTCAGTGACTGACTGACATAAAGGAGTTTATGATTTTGGAGGAGCAGCAGTTTCAGGTGGTGGCCAGGTGTGACCATAGGCAAGGTTGTGGAAATGGAGTGAAAGCAGAGCAAGAAATTTCTGGGCTGGGATACTAGATAGCTGGGCCCTTGGAAGTTTAAACCACATCCATGCATGGCACCAAGTAAGCTAGAGAGATGAACAAGGAAACGGGCACCCAAATCTTCAGCAATGGTGTGGAGATGCTGATGAGGTCCTTTGATAATAGATGTGATAAAGATAGACAATGCCAAAGCTTCACAAGGATGCAGGAGAAGAAAATATATGGTCTGAAAGCAGCAGAGAAGAGCTAGAAGAATGCAGTGTCGCCTCTTGATTTGGTGCTACACAGAAGTAAAAGAGAACAAGCTTTCTTCAAGAGGGATAGAGGAGAAGGGTCAACATTAATCTCTCCTGCTGCAATCTGCACTTCCACTCCCTCCTGCCTTTTACAAAATAGTCTCATGTGTCCACCAGGGTTAAAATCCTGGTTCCCCTAACTAGTTGTTTGACCTTGGAAAATCAGCTAACATATAAATCTTTGCAAAGGTTCAGGGGTGGCTCAGTTGGTTAAGCGTGCAACTCTTGATTTGGGCTCAGGTAGTGATCTCACAGTTTGTGGGACTGAGCCCCGCATTGGGCTCTGCGCTGACAGCAAAAGCCTGCTTGGCTCTCTCCCTCCCTCTCTTTGCCCTTCCCCTGCTCACAGGTTCATGCTTTCTTTCTCTCTCTAAAAATAAATTAAAGAAATAAATAAATCTTCGCAAAGGTTCATAAAAGGTTAAGTACAAAAATGATCATCTTAGCATGGTTTGTGATAGAAGGAAGATGGAGGCAAATCCAGTGTCCATCACTAGGGGATAAGGAAAATGCAGTGATTCATACTATAGAACACAGTAGTGCTGTGAGAAGTAGCAAACCATCATAAAAACATTTCAGGACACCGAAAGCACATGGATGCTTATCACATATTTTACAAGGATATGAGAGTATATTTAGGCATAAACATTGAGCACATTACAACTGGTACCATAATGGCAGGGGAACGGTACAGAATAGGAGTGAGGATCAGGGACAAGGGGAAAATGTATTAAAAGTAAAGGAAGGGGAAAAAAAGGAAGGAACGAGATAGACATGAGTTACCTATTACCTGACCCATTTATATAAAATACCCAGAACAGACAAATTCATAGAGACAGAAAGCAGATTGGCCATTGATAGTGGCAAGAGAGCAGGGTAAATGGGGAGTGACTGCTTAACATGTATGGGGTTTTCATCTGGGGTGACAAAAATATTTTGCAATGGAAGAGAGGTGGTGGTTACAAAAGATTGTGAATGTTCTAAATGCCACTGAATTGTTCACTTTAAAGTAGTTAATTTTATGTTATGTGAATTTTATCTCAATTAAAACAATTTTTAAGAATTTAAAGGCAGGGTCTTACACAGACCATTGTTCATTTCCTCCTGCTGAAAATAAGTAAAAGAAGTAAAAATGCTGAATAAAATGTAGTGTATAAAAAAGCTCATTAAAGCAAGGAGTAAGGAAATACCAAGTCAAAGTATAAATAAAAGGACAAATTCAGAGCTGTAAGCCCTGAAACATGTAAGACGTTTTCCCACAAAAGGGATAAGAGAAGCTATTTTAGAAGAGAAACAGTAACATGTAAGAACACATCCTAAAAGATGCCAATGTTTATTAGAAAGTTGTAGTGATCATAGCAGTGGAATTTGGGACAAAGAAACAAATGAAAGAAAAATAAATAAAGGCCAGCAATCAATCCAGACATATAAGATCCCTGATGTGTGTATAAGACTACACTGACTGTTGGTGGGGACGGTGACCAATATGTGGGATGAGGGCAGCCAGATATCATATAAAAATTAAATTACCTTTCTTACTACTAAATGTAGTAAAATTACCACCACTGAATTTACTACTGCTAAATTTACAACCCAAATTACTTGTTACTGATTTCCCTACACATCACATCCCTACTTTTTACCAAACACAAAAATGTATCCTAGGTTGATTAAAGAACTAAAAGTGAAAGGTGTAGCTTCAAAGATTTTAGGAGCTACTATAAATCATCTCTATGACCTCTGGAAGGAAAACTTGTCTTGAATGAGACAAAAAACAAAGCATAAGCCATAAAGGAAAACACTGAAATGCTACACAGTAATGAGAAAGAATGAAGTACGACTTCACAGGACAATCTGGATGAATTATACATACATCATGAGCAAAAGAAACAAAACACACACAAATACACACACATAGTTAAACTTAAAACAACTACAGTGTGTTTTTAAGGAGGTGTGCATAGCAAGGGTAATCAAGGAAATGATGACTATAGAAGTCAGCATGGTGACTGTTTCTTGGAGATGTGAGAGAGAACAACAAATGTGTGTGTTGGGAGGCCCTTCGGAGGAAAATGGCGATGTTCTTTTCCTGGTGTGGGTTCCATAGGTGTTCTCTTTTTTACTTAAAGGTGTATATATATATAGATATATCTATATATATATACACACATTTATATATTTTATGTACTTTTCTGAAGGCATGTTTTATTTTTATGTAATAAAAAATGATTCAAAGCAAATGAGTTATTACCAACTTGAGAATTTCCAACAGGAATAAAAACTGAAAGGCTTGCTGGTGGGCCTGAAACTGTAGTATCCATTGCTAAGCAGTTTTTCTGGGTATTTTTGTGTCTTTTTGGCAGAGTTGTTTTTTTTGGGTTTTTGTTTTGTTTTTGGGTTTTTTTTTGGGGTTTTTTTGTGCATGAAAGGTCAACTTTAGAAAAAAATAATAGCCTCTATTTTTTTTTTACATTCGAAATAAAAACAAATTTAGCAAGGCACATGGAAAAGATGTATTTTTAGATTCTTACTATATTGAACAGAAAATGTTAATAGAAAAAAACTGACCCTGTTCCTTTAGTCATGCATGCATTACTTGCTATCTGGGCGTAAGTGGAAGTAGAAGCACAGAGGACCCTTCCTAGTCTCTCATTCCATACTTTGTCATGGCCTAGTACTTCACACCCCATCACACATTCTAATTGTCTAGGGAACTACTAGAACTATTTTTTTAAATGGTGCCTGGGATATATATATATATACACACACACATGTATATGTATACATACGTATACATAGATATATATGTATACATACGTATACATATACACATATATGTATATATACGTATATATGTGTATACGTACATATACATACGTACATATGTATATATGTATATATACACATATATGTATATATACACATATATGTGTATATATGTATACACACACACACACAGCTTTCTAAGAGATTCTAATGTGTAGCCAGGGTTAAGAATCACTAAAGCTCTTTTAAGATTCCCATGTGACATATTTTAACCTTGAAACAACCATACTAAAATGGCATCTCTACTTCAAGATGGTCAAACCATAGCTCAGGGAGGCAAAGTAATTTACCCAAAAGGCACACATCAAATCGAAGGCAGAGGTTGGGCTAGCTAGCATTAGCTTATTCCATCCAGTAACACATTTGCTCCAATTGCTAAGTGCCTATTGTGGGACAAGCATTGTGTCAGACAATACAGAGAGAGATATTTAAATGTAGCCTTTGGCTCTGTTATACTCCCCAGTGAGGCTCCCCCACTCTCTGACTGGCCTGGGCAGTACAGGGAGTTGGATAGCCCCACAGTCAACACAGCTAGTTTTCTAAAAGGGCTAATTTCCAGAACTCTGGCTGCACTAATGTCCCAAAGCCCTTGACTGCTCAGGCATCTGTTCCTGAACAGCACTGAGCCCTCCTTGGACCTTATCCCCACTATCAATCCTCAGCCGTTGATTCCCTGGTGGCCTGCTCTACCTAAGCATACTTGCTTGGGAGAGTACAAAAGGCTGTTTGAAATTAGATCAAAGACACTTGCTGGGAAACTGGGTGAATGCATGCAACACTGGTCTAAGCCTCTCCTAGTTGAAGGAAATTACTATCTATTTCCTTAAAAATTGGATTTATAATATTGGTGTTCTCTATAAATCAATTTATTAGGTAGAGGAACATAAGAGTATGAAAGGAAATAACGTTGGATGCTAGCTTCTAACACAGATTCAGAAGAAAGGCTCACCCTCCAGTTATTAAAACATACTGCTGGAGCAAGAAATGTGGTTTTGAGGTGACAAAGAACTGAGAAGTGAACTCATCAGAACACTTTGAAAATGTTATGAGGATTAGTGATCACTGTAAAGAGACTTTAAGGGCACAATTTAGGACACTTATACAGAACTTCACCATAAAATAGTACCATAAATGTTTCTATTCGTGCAAGAATCCAGGAAATAAAATAACCTTTATTGCAATGTCCTCTGTCTCTACAGGACGTAGACGCCTTGTTGATTGCTCATAGCTGTCCAGGTGATATCTTCCAGGCTGCTTCCTGTTTATAGTTTTCGGCTGCTGCATTCCAAGTGGGAAAAAACACAAATTGAAGTTTTATGCAAAAAAAAAGAGGTTTTAATAAACATTAAGGCATATTGCTACTTCTCCACTTCAATTCCAAGAAAAAGAAATAAAGAAAGTGAGCATGATATTTTAATTATTTCAATAGATTCTCCAAATAAAAAAGCAAATAATAACAAAAAGTGTTAAGCTATAATTTTAAACCTAATTCACAAGCCTTTTAAGAAAAATTAAAAATACAAAAATGTGATACTTGCAACAGATGTAATTTAAAGTGCGGACCCCCAAACTAGGTTTTGGATACTCTTTCTCCAGCTCTCCGGGTAAATATGCCTGGGCGGTAAAAAAACTGCATGCATGTCAAAGCCAAACAGACTAACTCAGGTTAAACTAGAATCTACTTGTAAGACCATTTGGCTTGTACATGCTCCAACAGTACATTTTTGGTCACCCTTTGAATCTCCTACACTCATGTAACTCAGATCACCCAGGGATCCACTACGGAGTGAGAAAAAGCATAACAATCTAGGATTTTTTTGGTCCAAACATGCATGGATATTGTTTCATAAGTATATAAACATTATATAATGCTGATGTAAGCATAACAAAATGATCCAGTCTTTCCCAAATGTTATAGCATTATTCTTGGTCAAAGGACTAAAGCATTTCATTATACAGAGGATGCCAGCCGAGGTTGGACAGTCTTCACATACTTAAAATGAACTTGAATTAGGTCATAGAAGTTTGTTATTCTCTTAACTCGACTTCAATTCTGTGTATATTGAGACACATGGCTAAAGAGAAGGTAGAAAATTCAGTTCTGTAAACTTCTAATTTAGAAAAATTTGTAAGCTCAAAGTTTGATCTAGTGAACAAGTATTTCAAAAAAAATTATCCGTCTTACTTAACTACCTTATAGATTTTATGAAGGCTAAATAATAATACACTTTAAAACTGTTAAGTTACTGGGGTGCCTGGGTGGCTCAGTCAGTTGAGTGTCCGACTTCAGCTCAGGTCATGATCTCATGGTTCGTGAGTTTGAGCCCTGCATCGGGCTCTGTGCTGACAGCTCAAATCCTGGAGCCTGCTTCCAATTCTGTGTCTCCCTCTCTCTCTGTCCCTCTCCCCCTCATATTCTGTCTTTTTCTCTCAAAAATAAATACATGTTAAAAAAATTTTTAAACTGTTAAATTACCTATAAGAGCAAAGTATTCTAGAATTGTGAAACTTTTTTTTTTTTTTGGCCTGGAATTGCAGGTTTAGTTTTTTGAAAAATCCACTGAATTCTACTATGGGAATTAAAAATGTCCTTAAATAATCAGTAATTTAATCCAAACAAGATACTGCTCTTCCAATTTCCATCAATTGTTATATCAACAGAACATCAAATTATCAAGTAGTACATTGCTAGGCTACATGCAAATAAATACACAGATTAAAAAGGTACTGAGCAGAGCGAGCAGTGATTCTGTCCCACAGAAAATACTGAATGCATTTCACTTAAAAAAATAGAGATTATTCCTGAAATTTTATTTTAGTTTTGTTTTTCTTTTCACAATCTCACAGATGACCCTGGAAGTATGTCACATGAGATACATAAAGTCACTATCCTTTAAGCTAAGTGTATCTTCCTCACGAGACAGGTCTATGCCTTTACATAAATCCACTGTCTTCTAGAGTCTTTAATTCTATAGTAGTATTGCCCCAGAGGTCCAAAAGGAATGACGTCATGTTCTTCACAAAACCAAGGAGAGGGTGGGAGGAGGAGATGTGTTGACAGAGATTTGAGTCGGAGTTCCACAGATGTAATTTGAAGAGACTTTGGCTCTAGAATGTCACTAATTCTCCATGGAGATTCTACAGCCAAAACCACTTAACTCTAAGCTTTTACAGAATACATAGCATCTTAAGCTCTCAAGAAGAAGTTTCCATTAGTGTTATTTTCAAACACACAGCTTTTTTCACTCCATTTAAAAAAGTTTGTCGTTTGTGGTTTGGCCCATCAGCAGTGATGAATGACCCTGAAAGACATCAGAAGTCCAGTCTGGTTTCAATAACCCTGAAGATATTGAATGCACTTGAAGGGGATTCTTTTTTCCTTCCAGCAACCTTTACTCAGTTCAATTTTTCTTCTATCCCTCATCTCATGCAAAAAGGTTCTTCAGATTTCCCTAACTCCACAAACCTGACCTACCACATCCCCGTTCCTGGGGCATCGACTCTGCTCATCCTCACATCTCTGAGAGATGATCTAATAAATTCTGTGGCTATCTCCTACCATCTCAAAGGATGACAACGCCGGTTCTAATCAAATACTTGACTTTCCTGCTGCCTCAAAGGAAACCTTTTTCCTACACTTTTTCCTCCACTCTATAATGTGTTCTTGTTTTTGTGTCCATGGCCACACAATAGCAAACAAGCATTTTGAAGCATTGTTACTCCAGTGTATACAGGCATGGGTGGTAGTTCCTTCTCAGACAAAATCACACTTGCTCAATAAAATAACTTAATGGAGAGTAAAGAATAACTCCAGAAAAGCAGAAGAAAACAGCAAGTCTAAATATAGTTGAGTGCTCATCTCAACTATTTTTAGTAGTTTTAAACATGATTTAAAGAAAAATTTAATATAGCTTGACTTCCTGGTAAGAGGACTTTCCAAGCCTCAGTTAATTCCAGTCAAGAGATGGCATGGGCGATTTTGTTTGCTTATACAAGTAGTAAATATATTCATATTTTGTCTCATAGTAACATGAATAACTAATATTAATTATAACATGACTCTCTCTAGAATATAACATCTTTCTATGTTTTATTGTTATGAAATATATACATATAATTACAAAGAATTTCTTCAGAATTATTCAGACATACCTTCCAAGAAAGTGGTTTGATCAAGTCTCATTGATTTAAATATTAATTAATGGCTAATGATTCTAAAGTTTACATCTCCAAAGCTGACTTGTCTTTTTAGATGTCAATCAGTATCTCAAAATTACCATGTGCAAATATGCCTTTCGATTCTACCTCAATTTCGACCTGCTCACTTCTCAGCCTCCTTATCTAGTTGATCAGCAAGTCTTTATCAGCTCAACCCAAAAAAAGGTACACTGAATTTGATCACTTTCTCACAATGTCCACTGCAAGTGCCACAAAAACTAACTCTAACCATCATCTCTTGTTGCCTATGTGATTATAACAATCTCCTCACTGATCACTGATCTAGCTGTTCTACTCTTGTTCCCACTGATTACTGTCAACCTAGTAGCCTAGTAGCCAAAGTGATCTTTTAAAAATATAGCCAAAATTATATTAGTGCCTACTTTAAACCCTCCAATGGTTTCCTATTGCATGTCAATACAGTCCAGACCCTCAATCCTTGTTCTTACGTTGTCTTGTCTCTGCATTCTTCACCAGGCTTCAACAATAGTGTCCCTCTGTTCCTTGAGCACACCGAATTCATTCTCACCTTAGGGTCTTTGCAAGTACTAGTTCTCTGCCTGAAATGCTTTTTTCCCCCAGATCTTTGTTGAGAAGGTCTCAGCCCAAATGCCAGCTCTTCAGAGGGGGCCTTCTGGGAAATGACCACTCTACTTCCAGTATACCAGTCACTCTCTCATCTGTTATTTAATTTTCTTCAAAGTGAAATTATCTTATTTTTTAAACTTATCATCTGACTCTTGCCTTCAGAAAGCAAACTATGACAAGGATGAGGTTGTCTGCCTTGTTCATAGCTACATCCCTTGTTCATATCTATATCCCTGAAATCTATAAACACAGGCAAATACATGGTACATGTCACATTACATGTAACAAATACAGAACAAAATAATATTGACCATGTTTCCAGGCTGTGTAGATATTGAGTAAATATTTGTGTAGTGGATAAATAAACTGGTTTAAGGGTTACAAGACTCAGGTTTTAATCCTTGCTCTGCTGCTTACTAATATGGCCACATTCAAGGCACACAATACACACACTCAATATATTCAGTTGAAAAATAAAAATAGGTAATATAATGTTATATTGAGTCAAAGATATAATACATCAAAAAGCACTTCTTAAACTAAAAAGTGTAGCTCAAAGGTATTGGAAGAATATGATATGGGAGTTGTTACGCTCATTTTGTATTGTTTTTATATAAAGTTTCAGGTAGACAGCCTTTTTATAATGTTTATTTATTTTTGAGAGAGAGAGAGAGAGAAAGAGAGAGAGAGAGCATGCGCACCTGCAAGCAGGGGAGGGGAAAGAGAAAGAGGGAGAGAGAATCCCAAGCAGGCTCCA